CTCCACCTCCTCCTCACGTGCAGCCGCCCTCCTCCTCTCGTCTTCTTCTTCTTCTTCACTCCCTCTCCTCCTCCTCCTCCTCCTCCTCCTCTTCCTCCTCCTTCTCTCCTCCTCCTCCTCTCGTCTTCGTCTTCTTCTCTCCTCCTCCTCCTCTCGTCTTCGTCTTCTTCTCTCCTCCTCCTCCTCTCGTCTTCGTCTTCTTCTCTCCTCCTCCTCCTCTCGTCTTCTTCTTCTTCTCTCCTCCTCCTCCTGACTTCATCTTTTCTTGTTTTCCCTCCTCCTCCTCGTCCTCCATCAGCCATTTTTTTCCCCCCCCCTCGTTATCGCCAGACACAACCGACACCTCCTCCTCCTCCTCCTCTGGTTTCTTCTCCTCCTCTCCTCCTCTTCCTCATTCCGTCTTCTCTTCTCTCCTCCTCCTCCTCTCGTCTTCTTCTTCTTCTTCACTCCTCCTCCTCCTCCTCCTCTTCCTCCTCCTTCTCTCCTCCTCCTCCTCTCGTCTTTGTCTTCTTCTCTCCTCCTCCTCCTCATTTCGTCTTCTTGTTTTCCCTCCTCCTCCTCGTCCTCCATCAGCCTTTTTTTTTTCCCCTCGTTATCGTCAGACACAACCGACACCTCCTCCTCCTCCTCCTCTGGTCTTCTTCTCCTCCTCTCCTCCTCTTCCTCCTCATTCCGTCTTCTCTTCTCTCCTCCTCCTCTTCTCGTCTTCTTCTTCTCTCTCCTCCTCCTCTCGTCTTCTTCTTCTCTCTCCTCCTCCTCTCGTCTTCTTCTTCTTCACTCCTCTTGCTCCTCATTTCTTCTTCTTTTCTCTCCTCCTCTCATCTTCTTCTTCTTCTTCTTCTCTCCTCCTCATTTTGTCTTCTTCTCTTTTCCGTTCCTCCTCCTCCTCCTCTGGTTTCTTCTCCTCCTCTCCTCCTCTTCCTCCTCATTCCGTCTTCTCTTCTCTCCTCCTCCTCCTCTCGTCTTCTTCTTCTTCTTCACTCCTCCTCCTCCTCCTCCTCCTCCTCCTCCTCCTCTTCCTCCTCCTCCTTCTCTCCTCCTCCTCTCGTCTTCGTCTTCTTCTCTCCTCCTCCTCATCATTTCGTCTTCTTGTTTTCCCTCCTCCTCCTTGTCCTCCATCAGCCTTTTTTTTTTTCCCCGCTCGTTATCGCCAGACACAACCGACACCTCCTCCTCCTCCTCCTCCTCTGGTTTTCTTCTCCTCCTCTCCTCCTCTTCCTCCTCCTCTCGTCTTCTCTTCTCTCCTCCTCCTCCTCTCGTCTTCTTCTTCTCTCTTCTCCTCCTCTCGTCTTCTTCTTCTTCACTCCTCTTGCTCCTCATTTCTTCTTCTTTTCTCTCCTCCTCTCATCTTCTTCTTCTTCTTCTCTCCTCCTCATTTTGTCTTCTTCTCTTTTCCCTTCCTCCTCCTCCTCCTCCTCTCCCCTTCTTCTTCTCCTCTCCTCTTCCTCCTCATTTCGTCTTCTTCTCTTCTCTCCTCCTCCCCCCCCTCCTCCTCCTCTCGTCTTCTTCTTTTTCTCGCCGCCTCCTCTCGTCTTCTTCTTCTTCGCTCCTCTTCCTCGTCGTCCTCGTTTCGTCTTCTTCTTTTCTTTCCTCCTGCTGCTCCTCTTTTCTTCTTCTCTCCTCCTCATTTCGTCTTCTCCTTTTCTCTCTTCCTCCTCCTCTTGTCTTCTTCTTCTTATCTCCTGCTCCTCTTCCTCATTTCGTCTTCTTGTTTTCCCTCCTCCTCCTCCGTCGGCATTTTTTTTTCCCTCGTCATCCCCAGACAATCGACAATTCCTCCTCCTCCTCCTCCTCCTCTCGTCTTTTTCTTTTTCTCTCCTCCTCCACCTCCTCCTCTTGTCGTCTTCTTCTTCACTCCTCTTCTTCATCCTCCTCATTTCGCCTTCTTCTTCTCTCCTCCTCCTCCTCCACCTCTCGTCTTCTTCTTCTACTCTCCTCCTCATTACGTCTTCTTGTTTTCCCTCCTCCTCCATCGGCCTTTTTTTTTTCCCCCTCGTCATCGTCAGACAATCAGCAGCTTCTCCTTCTCTCCTCCTCCTCCTTCACCGTCCTCTTATTATTATTTTCTTTTTCCGTCATCCCCATACACCACCTGCAGGTCCTCCTCCTCCTCTAACCCCTCCTCTCAGTGGACTGGCTGCTGCAACACACCCTTTTACCGGCACGTCCTCCTCCTCCTCTAACCCCTCCTCTCAGCGAACTGGCTGCTGCAACACACCCTTTTACGGTTTTACCCCTTGACAACCCCCCCCTCCCCACACCCCCCTCCCCCAACACACATGCCTTTCACAAGTTTGTCTGCAGATTCGGGCTCCTCTCAGCGAGCGCAGTGCAACCCCATCTTCAAAAAAAAAATAAAAAAAATTCTGGGACGTTTTTTGGATCGTCTGGTTTTGCCGGACGGTACACCCCCCGTCCGTCTGGACCGGGCGTCGGCCTAACCCAGCTGTTTTCCCTTTCTTCCCGCCTGCGAATTAACAAAGCATTTTTAGAACCGGCTTCTGGAATCTAATGCCGTTGCACACCTATCTATGGTTCTAAAATGGTGTGGCAGTACAGGACTTAGGGACTAGGTTGTAATTTGAGTATCTGGCACCTTTATGGGTGAGAGTCTGTGAGTCGTCAATGACATTGGATACCACGGACGCGAGAATTTGTGGTTGGGGCGTTGGACCCGCTTTGCAACAGATGCAGCTCCCCACCAAAAGTTCGATACCATCAAACAGTGCACACTCCAACCTATCAGGCACACTTACAGCCTGATGGGTTGTTGTCTGTCATGGATGTTA